AGGATGAATCCAGCATTTTTAATAAACATGGCTACGGCATACATCAAGGCTACGGCCAAAGGCCATGAAGCCAATAGTATTTCATACTTTGTCGCTGGAGATCAAAAGAAATTTGTGTCTGTTTTGTGTTCTGTTTTTCAGACCATTGATCTCCCGCAACATTTGGCTCAAGGGCCCCTTTTGTAGAAACACAATCATCCGAGCGTGTGACAAAAGAGCCTCAGCAGGCCGCTTACAGGATTATCCACAAGACAATCCACCAGGGACAATCCATCCTCCAATCATCCATTACTGGCATATTGGACTCTCTCCGGAATAGATCCAGGGACCAACAACGACCTCAACTACCACAGGGTTCCAGTTCCCTCCGGGGATAGGCACCTGGGGCAGTGGGCCTCACCCCCCCCCCCCCCGGCCGCTGGCCGGAGGGGGAAAACAGAAGGGGAACAAAGGCGACTGGCCGAAAGAGGAAAAAAAGCCGAAGAACTGGCCGAAAGAAAACTAGAGGACGATTGGCCCGAAAGCATTTTTCCACAGGTGCTCATCCAGCTGCGGAGACACCTTTTTACATCGCTGCGGCGAGCGTGTCTGCGCGCGGCGATGCTCAGCGTGTATGGTCACATGAGAGCTCCATCTCATCATCCTACTTTCCTCTCGAACTGCGCCGCGCGATTTCTCACGAAAGTGGTCTGCGCAAGCTGCATTGTTCCAGGCTGCTGCGCGCAAGTTGCTCTCTGCAAGCTGCTGCGCGCAAGTGCTCTGTGCAAGTTGCTCTGCGCAAGTGCTCTGAGCAAGTTGCTCTGCGCAAGTGCTCTGCGCCAGTTGCTCCGCGCAAGCGCTTTGCGCATGTGCTCTGCGCAAGTTGGTCTGTGCAAGTTGCTCTGCGCCTGCTCTGTGCAAGTTGCTCTGCGCAAGTGCTCTGAGCAAGTTGCTCTGCGCAAGGGCTCTGCGCAAGTTGCTCCGTGCAAGCGCTTTGCGCATGTGCTCTGTTGCTGGTCTGCAAGTTGCTCTGCGCAAGTGCTTTGTGCAATTGCTCTGTGCAAGTTGCTCTGCGCGAGTTGCTCTGCGCAAGTGACTCTGCGCAAGTTGCTCTGCGCAAGTGCTGCCGGAGCTGCGGGGGTGTGCTCCGCGTACTACGTTTGTACTTAAAAGTTGCGATTCTCCAGCCGGAGCTGCGGGGGTGTGCTCCGCGTACTACGTTTGTACTTAAAAGTTGCGACTTGTTCAAGGCAAAGTTGGACAAGGATGTCTCTGTGGACCAAGTGTTGCACTTCGCTGGCAGACTTCACTTCTACGCAGAAGGTTGGCAAGGTTGAGTTCCTGAGGCACCAAGACCGGATGATGTCGGAAGCTGTCGAGAAGCAAGCCGATGCCCAGTTCCCTATCAGGTGCTTGGGCCTAAGTGACAATTTGGCGCCGTTTGTCAGCAGCTGCGCATCGACTTGGGCAGAGAAGCAAATCATCCCTGCCTGTTCACTGTTCACTGTCTACATTGCGAACTTGACATCCCTTGGCTCTGCAGCGTCTCGAGGGATGAAGGAAGTTGCGCGGTTGATTTCCGACGCGTGCGCCCACAACGCTCAGAGGACCATGGCCATCATCATTAGCCCCAATGTGGCAGGGCATGGCCACACCTATGAAGAGCAGGAGACCGTGCAGGTGCAGGACGAGGTAGAGAACTTCCTGAGGAAGGAGGAGTACAACCTCAAGACAAGGCGCGGGCAGATCGTCTTTTCGAACGAAAGCATCAACTCTCGCACACGGCCGTCTGTCCACCCCATGATCATGTGCATGAGCAATCAGACGAAGGATGACGGCAAGCTGTCTTGCTTGTTTGGCAGCAGCCAGTTGTGGCACAGAAGAGCCGTGCCACTCGTCAAGATGAAGCCCAACAGTGAGTATTTTTTCTCATGCAAGGCCAGACAGTTGTTGCTGCAGAGAATCTGTCCAAGGCTCAGATGCACAAGCAGCACATCTCTGGCGTGGACTTGATGGACAAGTTGAAGGAATGGCTGTGGAAAGGCATGAACATGAGTCAGCAGTTTGGCGCAGTCTACGTTGATTTGTTGCCTTACGACGACTCCCTTCTTCTGTCCACTGTCCAAGGTTTGGCGCGCGCAAGGCCGAAGGAGCCACAGGAGATGGTTGTGACCTGTTGCTGGGCCCGTGGCGACCAGGATGGCGACGTCCGCAAGAAGAATGCTGAATGGCTGACCACTGCAGTTGGGAGGGCCATGGACAGGCTTATCAGGCAGAAGCTCCTGTCTCTCCCAAATGTTGTGGTCAAGGAGTACACGCCTGAAGGCACTACGCCCACCAACGACTCGAGCTTGTACAGTCTGACCTTCCCCACGGCAGACGGGAACTTGGCAATGCGCCAGAATGCGTTGGACGAGTGGGGCCCCAAATTTGCCCGCCTGAAGTCTGACTATGAGGAAGCGATTGCGAGCCACAACAAACTCTTTCAATTCCTCAGGCTGCCCTTACAAAGCTGACGGGCGCAAGAGAGCTGGAGAGGCCATTGGAGACGACGTGGAGGATGAGCCCTTCCTGGACGATTGCGTTGTGGAGTCGCTGGAAGAATTGCGCAAGGCGCATGGCAACCTGTCCACTGTCCACAGCAGCCAACCAGAGCTTTTCAATTTGATTTTTACTTCCAAGGGGCACCTTTTCCTCCATGCTCTCGAGGACGGCGTGGCCTCTGAAAAGGTCCCTTTGTTTCAGACCTTCGGAGAATTCCACACCGGGGACGCAGACATTGCCGAGGTGCAAAAGCGCAAAGGGCACTTGTGCCATTGGAAGATGGATTCGGCGGACTTCGAGGCGATTTGGTCCCATCCTGCAGGCTGGGACCCGGCGTTCCAGAGGCGCCCTGCCACTTTTCAGAAGTTTGCGGACTACCTCGCAGACCACAACGTCGTCACCTTCTCCATGGCATGCCATGAAGTCAGCCTAGAAGGCTCGGACGGGATCAAGGTCAAGAGCGTGGAAGATTGCGCATTTGAGGCCAAGAAGTTGCCTGCCCGCGCCGTTGCTGACTGCGGCAGCTCGTTGACGTTTGCTGTTGTGGATTGGGAGAAGGGCCAGACAACCAACGGAGCATTAAAGCTCGTGATGAGCTTGAGCTATAAGGACTCAAGCCAGCAAAAGGGCGTTTTCCCGGCAAAGCCTTGCTGGATGCTGGCGAAGCCGAAGCGCGTCCTCAAGGACAAGTGCTTTTTGGTGTGTGGCCCAGGCAAGCCCTAGTCCACTGCGCACTGTCCTCAGTCCATGAGGTTTGCGTGTGGCCTGGCCACAGCAGCCTGCATTTGCACGGCGTGCGAAGCGACGTGCAGGTGTTGACAGACCATTACAAGCCGTGTGAGCAAGATGTAAAAGTGGCAGGCAGCACAGGCGCAAGCATGCAGGCTTACACGCACACATTGTTGCATGCCGCAGCAGGGCGTCACAGCATATGCATACTACGTCTGTACTTAAAAATTGCGATTTTCCAGCCGGAGCTGCGGGGGTGTGCTCCGCGTACTACGTTTGTACTTAAAAGTTGCGATTTTCAAGCCGGAGCTGCGGGGTGTGCTCCGCGTACTACGTTTGCACTTAAAAGTTGCGATTTTCCAGCCTGAGCTGCGGGAGCACGCTCCGCACACTACGTCTGTACTTAAAAGTTACGATTTTCCAGCCGGAGCTGCAGGAGCACGCTCCGCGTACTACGTTTGTACTTAAAAGCTGCGATTTTCAAGCCGGAGCTGCCGCGGACCAGGGGGAATCGAACCCGCGACCGCGGGATTGCGAAAGCAGGCGCGCAAACCACGAGACAACTTCCAAAGGCCGTTTCGCGAGCAAGAATATTGCACGGCGGCCACAGCGAGAGCGCTTCGACACGCGTCTCCGCAGAGGGTTCGCCGAGACTAAGACAAATTCGCACGGCGCCACAGCGAGAGCGCTTCGACGCGCACGATCTCCGCAGAGGGTCGCGTGCGCATGCTAAAAATCGTAAAAAGTCCTCAGTTTTTGAACCTCGACCACGCGAATCTGCAGAGGGTCGCGCGCGCACCGCAGAAATCGTAAACGTCTCAGTTTTTGAACCTCGACCACGCGTCTCCGCAGAGGGTCGCGCGCGCACCGCAGAAATCGTAAAAAGTCCTCAGTTTTTGAACCTCGACCACGCGAATCTCCGCAGAGGGTCGCGCGCGCATGCTAAAAATCGTAAAAAGTCCTCAGTTTTTTGAACCTCGACCGCGCGAATCTCCGCAGAGGGTCGCGCGCGCATGCTAAAAATCGTAAAAAGTCCTCAGTTTTTGAACCTCGACCACGCGAATCTCCGCAGAGGGTCGCGCGCGCATGCAGAAATCGTAAAAAGTCCACAGTTTTTGAACCTCGACCACGCGAATCTCCGCAGAGGGTCGCGCGCATGCAGAAATCGTAAAAAGTCCACAGTTTTTGAACCTCGACCACGCGAATCTCCGCAGAGGGTCGCGCGCGCATGCAAAAATCGTAAAAAGTCCTCAGTTTTTGAACCTCGACCACGCGAATCTCCGCAGAGGGTCGCGCGCGCAGCAGAAATCGTAAAAAGTCCTCAGTTTTTGAACCTCGACCACGCGAATCTCCGCAGAGGGTCGCGCGCGCCAGCAGAAATCGTAAAAAGTCCTCAGTTTTTGAACCTCGACCACGCGAATCTCCGCAGAGGGTCGCAATCCCGAGCGACGATCAAACTCCCGCCCCGGCGCCTTAGAAACCTAAACTAACTTACATAGCTGCTAACGCCGAAGCTCTAAGCTCTACCTAACCTTGGCTCTATGTAACTTGGCTCTATGTAACTTGGCTCTATGTAACTTGGCTCTATGTAACTTGGCTCATGTAACTTGGCTCTATGTAACTTGGCTCTATGTAACTTGGCTCTATGTAACTTGTCCAAGGGCTCCGCACGGAAGAACCCTTCGCGATGCTTTCGGGAAAAAGCCGGAAAAAAAAGAAGGAGAAAAACAAAAAAACGGCCCCTTCTCCTTGTCCCACACCAGGCACCGCATGGTGACCGGCCGCTGGGTCCGCTGCTCCAGCTCTTTGAGAGCCTTCAAGCGCCGGTTCCCAAAGACCGCCCAGAACTCTTCCGCGGAGAACTTGATGAGCACCAAAGGCGTCAAGTCCTGAACCCCCTTCCTTCACGGGGGGTTTTTGGTGGCAAACCCATGGCTGCCGAAGGGCGAAGAACCCATGGCCATGCACAAGCCTGGACCCCCCTGCCGAAGTGTGAAACCAAAAGGAGTCCCATGGTGCCGACGACCTGAATTCCCCCTTTCTACTGCGAGCTTCAGCATGAACCTTCCGAGAGCTTGCGATTTGCCGCACTCGAGGGTGTCTTCAAGTCCATTGGCCTGCCCTTCGGGTTAGGCCCCAGGGCCATGAGGGAAGGAAGCCTCAGGGCTGAGGAAAAGAATCCACCAATCTGTGATACAGAAAGGGCCTAACCCCAAAGACGATTTTCTTCGTATAAAGGGGGATTCCAACTTGTATGGAGAAACTCCGAGTGATCCCACTGCTCTATATGAGTCTCCATGGTTCCTGAGAGGAAAACCGCTCCTCAGGCTCCGCGCGTCCATCCAGCAAGTCATCAATGAGGTCCTGCACGGACTCCCCGCGGTGCTCCCCATGTGCAAAGGTCGCCTGGACGAAGTCGTGGCTGTGACGGATGAGCCTAGGCCCAGCTTTTCTCGCCCTCAGAACTCAAATTCGTCGACTGGGGGCTTCACTTGTTGGTCCCTTGGCTGACTTGAACCTAGTGAGCTACTGGAGTGCTTCGAGGTACAATTGACTCCTAGCTGCTGCCCTGTTTCGAAGGGCCTGGCCCGTTTCTATCTAACAGGCAATCGACGTACGTTGAAAACCCAAGCACTGCCCTCCCATCGTCTTCCGGTAAAGACAACGGCTACCAGCTCCAAACACATGCCCAATGTGCTCAATGTCTCAAGCTAGGACCCACCAAATCCACCCACCCTTACACCAATCCACCAAATCACAAGCTCAAACCCACCCGAAAAATGCGCCTGCGTTCCTTCTCTTGCCTTCTTTCGCACCCAAAACGAGCCTCTTTTTCGCCCACCCTTGGCCCACCGGTCCCTTACGGATGACCCGAGGCGCGTCACGTCCACGTACTGCCGGTTCCGCGGGAAGTCCTCCCAGGCCTGCGAGCCCGCGCGGCCGTGAACGGCGCGAGTTCGGGACACGGGCTTTGAGCTGGAACTCCCCACGGCAAAATCCAAAGCAATTGTTGGGGGAGTCTAGCGTTTTTTTGTCAAATCCCCATCCAAAAATTGAGCTTGAAATCCAAAGCCCCAAAACCTGGAGGAATCTTCGAGCAATTTTGGACCGCGGGTGGGTGTTGCTGAAAATCGGACCAATTTGTGTTCATTTACGCATCCCTTGGGTTCAGTTGCCACATGCCCCTGGGGCAAATGAACCCAAAAGGCCTGAACAATACCCCTCTCCCCGAAAAAGGGTATTTACCCAAAAGGCCAGCCCTTAGAAAAGTGGGTTGGAAACCAGGGAAGCCAAAGGGCTCTGAACAAGAGGTGTGTACGTCCACCCTTATGACGGGTGTCCTAACCCAAACGCTAGGGGAGAGCAAAAAAAATGTTTAGCGTTGTTTTGCAGCCCAGAAATGAACAGAATTCCAAAAAGACTACAGTAAAACCGAACAACTTGCCAACAACAGTGAAATGCCTTCCTCCCAAAAGCCTTGCATCTGCCATGCACAAATATCACAAATCACGTATCGGCGTACCCCTTCCCCCCCCCCCCCCAAGGTACCTATTCACGCCTCTTTTGACTCGACCAAAATTCTAGACTCGTTGCATCCAAGTCCTAACCCTTTTGGAAACGAGCGCTTGATGCACTAACTCATGCAACCTCGCGCGGCGTCGATTGGTTCCCATGGACAAAGCAACAGGAACGGCTTGCGCCAGGGGTCCTCGCAGCCAGTCAAAACATCCATCCTCAAGTCGAGATCCCCATTTTTCAAAATGCGCAAGCCATGGGAAGCAGGCAAAAAGCGCAGTCAAAACCTTCTTCTCCCGCAGGCAACACAAGCGAAAAAAGCGCCTGGCCCTCTGCCGGGTCATAGATCGCATGCCGCTTTCCCTCCAGGAAGGCCCGCAGCTTGTCCAGCGCCTGGCGGCGTGTCACACCCTCTTCTTTTTTCTCTCCGGGGACCTTTCTTTTGGGGCTGGCATCAACGAAAACCAAAGGAAAACCAGATTGACTTAGTTCTTTATCTAGTTGTCTACGTGTTTGTTTATTTATTTATCTACTCATAAATTTATCAAGTTATCTATTGATCGATTGATGTATTTATGCATTTAATTTATTGACTTATTTACTTATGCATCTACTTTTTTACTTATCTATTTATTTATTATTATTGTTCTTCATTTTTTTGGGGGGGGCCTATGCCCAAATCTGTCCACTCCTTGATGCTGAAAGGCCATGGGTCGGCCAAACCAACGCAGCTGATGTTGCGACCCTTGGAAGCCCGAACCCGCGTGTTGTCCAAGCATCAAGACGACAGCCTTCGTAACGCCACAAGCCTCTGAGATCGCCCATCCTTCGCCATGTGACAGGTGATTGAAAAAGTGCAAAGATGAAGCAGATCCCCAGGGTCCAAAAGTCAAGCCCCATAGTCCTAAGCCAGTCTCCCTTTGGTTTCCCCGTACTCTCCAAGTTCTTGGGTGAGCAACGGTGAACACTGAACTCCTCCTCTTACTCCAACCCTCCCTCAAGCCACCCACTCCCCAACCCCAACCCCGAACCACCCGAAACCACCCCAAAACACCGTGAAGCACCGTAAAACACCCCAAACCACCCTTTTTCCCCAAACACCAACCACCCCCCCCCCCCGCCCCCAACCCAACCCCAACCCAACCCCCAAATCCAACCCCAAGCCCAAGCCACCGCCTCCTCACCGGCGTCCAGGCCCATCTGGCAGGCCAGCGCCGCCGGGGCATCCTGGGCCTCGAAGACGGCGCACTCCGCGTGGCTCCCCGCGTCCTGGCGCGGGGAGCAGACGGGCGGCAGGGGCTGGGGGGGTTGGGGCGGTGTGGTCTTCTTTGCGGACTTCACTGGTTTTGAGATGAACTCGTGAATGGCCCCAGCTTGTGCCCTAAATCGCGCCTATCATTTGGGCGGTTTGGTCCGCCGCCATGGAGAGCCGAGACGCTGACTTTGGGGGCAGAGGCCGAGAGCCGAGCCGCCGGGGCTTGTGGCAGAGCCATGAAAAAGTGTGGGTTTTTTATTACAGGGGTCATTCTTTCAACGGTTTCTGGGGGTGAGCAGGGTCAGAAAATGGAATCGGTTGTTTTGCCAGAAAACCCACCACTGAACGGGGGTGACTTTGAACATGGTAAAATAATGAGGCCAGCTTGATGCGCCGAGTTTAGGCTGAAAAGGGCTTGGAGCAAGGGCTCGTGTAAGGTACTGTTGACCCCAGATGAATTTCAACCAACCAGCTTTCTTTAGGACTCAGCCTTGGTGGTTGTTGCCTGGTTTTGGCTTGTTGCCAATTGTGTTTGCTCCGTTTGGCTTAATGTTCCGAATGAAGTTCAACCAACCAGCTTTTTCTTTCTGGGGGGTGGGGGCGGGCCCCTCGAAAAGTGGTCTGAGTCCCGAGACAACAAGAGCGCCAAAGCTTAGTTTGGCCTTGGTCTTGGCTCGGTCTTGGCTTGGTTTTCGTGGCTTGGCCCTGGTCTTGGCAGGGCTTTCCTTGGCTCTGCTGTTTTCGGGGTGCCTTGCATCCTGCCAGCCTGCCTGGTTCCGTGGTATACCTCACCACTCACAGGCGGAGAAATGCAAAGTGAACCCTGGCGTTCAGCCCCCATCGAAAAAAATGGCTGGCACAACTTAGGTGATGGAAATCCTTATAAGTAAACAATCGTGATTCTATGAACCCCTTTGTTTTAGTGGTGGTTTCAAACCCCAGGGTGAAAACAAAAAACATCTGAAGATGCTACCGCCCGGTCCTTCAAAGAGCCCAAAACCAGGTGGTAAGGCCCACTGCCAAAGTCGATCACCACCGGCCGCCGCGACTTCCTGATGGCTCGCTCCCTGGGGGCGATGATCTTCCGCACCTCGATCTGCTTCACAAACCCAGGTGCTGGGGCGCGCGCAAAGCGCTTCAGCTCCTCCGAACTGCCGGCGAGCCTCTGAAGCAGCATTTGCCTCACCGGCATCCCTTCCCACTCCCTGGAAGGGGAGCTCCTCCGCCGCCGGCGCCTGCTTCGGCTTCTGCTGCTGCTGCTCCTTCTGCCTCTTCTCTCTGGTCCGGGGCTCGCGGGTCGCCTGGAAAAGCCCAGGGGCGGCGGCGGCAGGGCGAGGGGCGGCTTTGGCCCCTCGATGGCCAGCGGCTTCAGCGGCTTCAGCCCGGTCTCCGAGCCCGGGATCCCGCCCAGGCAGAAGAAGTAGTGGTGCGTGAGGCTGTCCAGCGACAAATCCGGCGGCGTGTCCAGCTCCGGCCCCAGCGACACCGAAACCAGCATCGCCGGCTCCGCGCGCCGGGCCAGCGCCTCCTCCCGCGAGATGAAGTGCTCCAAGTCCGAGGCCACAAACAAAGCCTCGCCCCTGAGGCAGGCATCGAACCTCACCGCGGCCGGCTCATCCCAGGCTTGGCCGTCCTGAAGGCGGCTTCAAGACATGACGGAGCGTGTTGGACCCTGCCGGGCGCAACCCCGAGGCAATGCAAACCAAGGTTCAACCGCAAGAGCCTGACTTGAATTTGAGTCAAGACCCTGCAGCCGAAGCCTGGCAAGTATGTGTGGTTTCGGATGCCGATCCATAGCACACGCCTTCCTGCACAACATTCAGACATGCCATGAACAAGCACATTCAGTCGCCTCAAGTGCAGCTTTAGACGTATGAGTACTTCTAGGCAGGAAGTACGTTTGCGTCAAGCCCCACACAAACTAACGATTCATCATGACTTTCCGCCTCAGCGTTCCTTGGCCTGCAGCCTTCTGAAACGAACTGCAAATCAACACGGTGCCTCTCATTGATTCATAAGCTTGAGTTCTATGCACCAACCCCGCGAAGCCAACGCCTCCCTGGACCAACCTCCAAACGACCCACAACAGCCCTGCCTCAATGGCAGGCTTCGCTTGGTCCTAGCGCGAGATTTGGGCGCTGCATCTTTCGACTCCAAAGAGTGGCACCAAAGAGTGGCAGGCCTGGTCCTCTATGGCGGAAGCCTTCAGCGCTTTCTCCTGGCACAAGACTAAACTCCATTGCTTTCTGCGAAGCCCTGCTAAAAGTGAATCACTTTTAGTGGCTTCATGTGGAAAACCCAGTAGTTGGCAAAAAGTGAAAGTCCGAACATCCCTGGGAAAATGCGCCAAATGGGCCGCTCGGCTGCTGACTGGCCGGCCTTGGCTTTGGCAATCAGCAGCCCGGGGTGCTGCGCCTCACCCTCCTGGCCAGAATGTGGCGAGCCCATTCACGGACCTCTGCGTTTCGCCCCAAGCCGCGGCCCATGGGACGACTTTTGGAGTCAAGGCCCAGGTGAAAAGCGCTCCCAAACCTCCGCAGGTTCCGGCCAAGCTTCGGGTCCAGCAAAGGAGGGGAACAGATCCTCCCGCGGCAATTCCACGGCCTGGACAAGCGCACCCGTGGTTTTTTTTGATCCCTGGCATGCTGAATCCCGGCGCCAAATGTCGCATATGTCTCAACCGAAATCTCCTGAGCGGAATCTCCAAGCCATTTGGCCAACTAAAAGGCGATGGAGGAGGAAGGTGCGCGCACGTACTCGGGAGCCTGCGGCACAGCAAGCGCCGAGTGGTTGTCCTTGCCGGCTCGACTCTACGCGCCCATGTCGTCAAGAGACCTATTTGGGTATGAATTCTAAGTAGGGGCTGAAAATTCATAGTCCATTCTTCAAAGCAGACTGCTCGACAGCTCCACAAGTCGTTTTGTGGCTCCGGGCCGCTCAGATCCCATCTCAACGAACGGCCCAACCTGTCCTCGGCAAAGGGCCTGAGCCCGGGCGGGCTCGGGCTCGCCTGCGAGCAAGCATGCACCGGGCCAAACGACACACAGCAACCCGAGCTCGTGGCGAAGGTGGAAAGGGAAGAGCCTCTGAATGTCTTGAAGAAAAGCTGAGGTCCAAGAAGCCCATCACAAGAAGTGAGCCCAAGTCAGCAAGCTTCGGGTCCACACCCTGCCTGCGCCCACTGGATCGCGGGCACTGGCGGCCGGCCCTGAGGACCCTGGACCCCCGGCAGAGGCCGCTGGGGTCGTGGCCCCCGCACGCCTCGAGGCCGCCAGGCCCCCGGCCAGGAAACCTCTCGCTGCCACTGCGCGGCCTGCCAGGACAAGGACTGCCAGGCATCCCAGTCCTCGGTCGCTTTCTGCGAAGCCCTGCTCAAAGTGAATCACTTTTAGTGGTTTATATAATGTGGAAAATTAAGTAGTTGGCATCCCTTGGCAAAATGCACCAAAGAGTCCATGTGCGCGCCGAAAGGGCGGTGCCCGGGCAACGCCTCCGAAGAACCATCCGGCGCCCACCAGGCGAACTTTTCGAGCCGCTTTCGGATTTGAACTTTGGTCGCTTTGCTTTCTGCAGATCTGTGTTGTGTTAAGGTTTTCTGCGGATGTGTGTTAAGGCAGCGGCGGCCAGACAGCTTTGCAAAAGCTGTTGCGTATTGTTCGTGATTTTCGCTAGTAATCACTTAAACATCAAACTTAGCATGATTCGAGAGCACGAGACATGTGGAGATGCTGGTGCGTTGGTGAAACTTGTTTTGTGGGCTTCGCACCAGGCATTCTTGATCAAATGGGGCCAGCGCATCTCACTTCGTCCCAATGACAAAATCTATTGACATGTCACGGAGCACCGCGGATGAGCTCTCTTGAGCCAAGTCCGCAGAGCAGTGGCGATAGTTCTTTTGCATCAAGGCCTTGCGGAGTTTTTCAGAGCGAGGGAAAGCACGCCTTAACATAACACAAATCTGCAGAAAACCTTAACATAACACAACGCTTTCAGCTCACAAAACTGAGCTGTCCTCAAATCTCCAGCTACGCGTTCTCCACCTTTGGCGGGTGCTCTTTTTTTGGTGGGGGGGGGGTTACGGAACCTCCACCACGAAACCCGCAGAGATTTAAAAACCGAAGCTGAACCGCGCCCCTCCGGTTTGGGGCGCCCTGCAGCCGCCTCCGCGGCTGGGAAGCGGCGCTCGTGCAGCGCCAGCTGCGCGCGCAGCAGCGTGGCGCGGGCGGAGAGGGAGGTGCCTCAGGATGAATGGTTGGATAGGTTGTTGGGTGGGTGGGTGGGTGGGCGGGCGGGCGGGCGGGCGGGCGGGCGGGCGGTTGGGCGGGCGGTTGGATGGGTGGGTGGGTGGGTGGGTGGGTGGCTGGCTGGCTGGCTGGCTGGCTGGCTGGCTGGTTGGGTGGGTGGGTGGGTGGGGGAAGGGGGCTCATCTGTGCCCACATTTTCGGCTCATCTCCGCCCGCACAGAAGTGACTCATCTGCGCCCACATTTTCTGACTCATGTGCGCCCACAGATTCTTTCGCGAATACATAGAAGTTGACCCTTTGCAAAAAGGGGTCAGCGGAGGATCATCTGCGCCCACACTTTGGGCTCATCCCTGCCCACAGAGAGTTTTAGGGTTTTTTGGGCGTAGGGTCATTAGGGTTTAGGTTTTTAGGGTTTACGGTTTTTAGGGCTAAGGGTTTTTAGGGTTTAGGGTTTTCAGGGTTTAGGATCTTTGTTGATTAGGGTGTTTAAGGTTTAGGGTTTTTAGGGTTTAGGGTTTTTAGGGCTTAGGATCTTCAGTGCTTAAGGATTTTAGGGTTTAGATTTTTTAGGGTTCATGGTTTTTTTGGGTTTAGGGTTTTTAGGGCTTAGGATCTTTAGTGTTTAGGGTTTGTAAGGTTTAAGGTTTTTAGGGTTTAGGGATTTTAGGGTTTAGGGTCTTCAGGGTTTAGGATCTTCAGTGTTTAAGGTTTTTAGGGTTAGGGTTTTTAGGGTTTAGGGTTCTTAGGGTTTAGGGTCTTCAGGGTTTAGGATCTTCAGTGTTTAGGGTTTTTAGGGTTAAGGGTTTTTAGGGTTTACGGTTTTTAGGGTTTAGGGTTTTTAGGGTTTAGGGGTTTCAGGGTTTAGGATCTTTAGTGTTTAGGGCTTTAGGGTTTAGGGTTTTTATTAATTTTATTTTTATTTTTCTTTCCTTTCTTTATTTTTTTAGGGTTTTTAGGGTTTAGGTTTTTTTGGGTTTAGGATCTTTAGTGTTTAGGGTTTTAGGGTTTAGGTTTTTCAAGGGTTCAGTTTTGTTGGGTTTAGGGTTTTTAGGGTTTAGGGTTTAGGCTTTTGGGTTTTCAGGGTTTAGGATCTTTAGTGATTAGGGTGTTTAAGGTTTAGGGTTTTTAGGGTTTAGGGTTTTTAGGGCTTAGGATCTTCAGTGTTTAAGGATTTTAGGGTTTAGGTTTTGTAGGGTTCATGGTTTTTTTGGTTTAGGGTTTTTAGGGCTTAGGATCTTTAGTGTTTAGGGTTTGTAAGGTTTAGGGTTTCTAGGGTTTAGGGATTTTAGGGTTTAGGGTCTTCAGGGTTTAGGATCTTCAGTGTTTAGGGTTTTTAAGGTTAAGGGTTTTTAGGGTTAAGGGTTTTTCGGGTTGAGGGTTTTAGGGTTTAGGGTTTTTAGGGTTTAGGGTTTTTAGGGTTTAGGGGTTTTAGGGTTTAGGGATTTCAGGGTTTAGGGTCTTCAGGGTTTAGGATCTTTAGGGTTAAGGGTTTTTAGGCTTAAGGGTTTTTAGGGTTTTCAGGGTTTAGGATCTTCAGTGTTTAGGGTTTTTAGGGTTTAGGGTTTTTAGGGTTTAGGGGTTTCAGGGTTTAGGATCGTTAGTGTTTACGGTTTTAGGGTTTAGGGCTTTTTGGGTTTAGGATCTTCAGTGTCTAAGGTTTTTAGGGTTTAGGTTTTTTAAGGGTTCAGTTGCTTTTTGGGTTTAGGGTTTTTAGGGTTTAGGGTTTTGGGTTTTCAGGGTTTAGGATCTTTAGTGATTAGGGTGTTTAAGGTTTAGGGTTTTTAGGGTTTTTAGGGTTTAGGGTTTTTAGGGCTTAGGGTCTTCAGTGTTTAAGGGTTTTGGGTTTAGGGTTTTCAGGGTTTAGGATCTTTTTTGATTAGGGTGTTTAAGGTTTAGGGTTTTTAGGGTTTAGGGTTTTTAAGGCTTAG